CTAGCTAGAGGTGGTGACGGGGGCTAGTCCCAGCTACTCAGGAGGCTGAGGCAGGAGAATGGCGTGAACCTGGGAGGCGGAGCTTGCAGTGACCTGAGATTGGGCCACTGCACTCCAGCCTGGGCAACAGAGCAAGACTCCATCTCAAAAAGAAAAAAAAAAAAAAAAAAAATCCCCAGTGGTCCAGAAATACAAGAATGAAAAGGAAGTGTTTCTCTTGACCCTTCCTCCGTTCTGCTATAGGAACCCTTGCCAGCTTTGATGTGTCCTTCCAGATGGTCTTTGAGTTTGAATACATCCGTGTGCATCATACACATATGCTGATATGGGGGTGGGAGGACTTGTACCTAAAAAGAGCCCTTCTTTTTGCACAGTTCCACAATTTGATTTTTTAAAATATTTCCTGGAGATGTTTCCATGATGATACATAGATCTACCTCATTTTTTAATCTATTTCATAGAATTCTACAGTGTAGATGAACTATAGTTTAGTCTTCTGTTGATGGATTAGATTTCTTAATTTTTTTTACTGTTCAAGAAACGAAGTAGTGCATTTTCTTCTGTGTATCTCTATGTGCACATGTTACTGTGTCTCTAGGACTGACACTGGATATGCCATCTCGGAGTTGAAGGGAAGCACATTTAAATGTCGATAGGGTTGCCAAATGCTCCTTTTAAGAGACCGGACCAGTCTGAGCTCCTGTGTCCCCACACGTTTATGGGACTGGCTGTGAACAGTCTTGTCGTTTTGGCCAATTTGATGAAAAGAAAAAAAAATTACATTGTTTTAATTTCCGTTTTCTGGATCATAGATTGTACCTCTTTTTATGTTCATGGGCCTTATTTTTTCTTATCACAATGTATGCCAGTACATGTCCATATATCAATTGGGTTATTTGTTCTTTTTCTATGAACATGTAAGGGTTCTTTTTGTTTCTCAATAATAATAATAATCTCTTAGGTGCCCTTTGCCAATCTCCAAATCCAACATTTACCTTTTAACTTTACTTTTTTACATGAAAGTGTTTATTAGTGAACACAATCTGTCAATGTCATACTACATGGTTCCTCGGTTTGTGTCTTATATCCTCGCCCCAAAGTTACATGAATGTTTCCTTAATTTTCCTCGAATACTTTTATATTGTGTTTCTTATATTTGGTGCAGTAATTTATCTATCAGATAATTTTGTGGATGTGGTGCAAGCTGAAGTTCTAGCTTTATTTTTTCTAAATGTTTAATGAAGTGTCCCAACACCACTTACTGTTTTACTGTTCTATTCCAGCAGGCCTCAAACTTTTTGGTATCGAGACTCCTTTACACATTGAAAAATTATTAAGGACCCCCAAAGAGCTTTTGTTTGTGCATATTTTGGAGAGAGAGAAAGAGAGGGAGTTATTTATCATGTTGGAAATTACAACTCAAAAACTTTTAAAACACAAGAATGCACCCGCCCACATCGTATTTGAATGACAGCAAGGACATCATCTCCTTGGCCGTTCTGGAATCCGGGAATTCTGGACATGTAACATATGTGGTCCCATGATCTCTCACCTTTTGTGATCCTCCAAATACTGATGCAGTATTTGGAAGCTGGTCCCTCCCTGCCCTGTCCTGTCCCTAGTGCAGGGCTGGGTACATAGAAGGACATAGAGCCTGCACTTCTGGGATTAGGCAGGAACTTGAGAGAAGGGACTCTGCAGAGCAGTGCTTGTCAGAGTTTTTCAATTCCGTAAACATTTAGTGAGTACTGCAGTGTGCAACCTCTTAGGCTAGGGCTGTGGGGAATTTAAAGCCATCTTTCTGGCCACAACAGAGACAAACTCTCTTAGCAGGGGTTGTGGGGGAGACAGAGGTGCCGCAGTAGCTGCTATGATCTGAAACCCATCCTCGATGCAGTAAACGAAGTCCCAGCTGCTTATGAAATCGGCTTCCAGTAGAGTTGGATTGTTTCCTCTTCTTTCTCTTTCTAAAAAAAAGACAGTAAATGGGTTTTGATACCTTTAAAAGAAATTTCTATTTCTTGATCTTATTATGGCATAGATATTTTCAGCATATAGCCAGTGGGCCAGTGAGGAATGTGTGTCTGTGTATTTGTGTCGGAGTCTGAGAGTGGATGTGAAAGGGAACAGACCATGTAAGCTGCCACAGGTTTACAAATCCCGGAGAAGCAGGAGGTTGGGGTAGGTCTAGGGCCACCCGTCTCTTGGCAAGAATTAGGAAAGGGACCAGCTCGAGACTCTTCTGTCATCCCAGCAGAGCAGACTTCCAGCATTCAAGCCCTAGCTCTGCTATTTCTCAAGCAAATTACTTCATTGCTTTCTGCCTTGGTTTCCCTGTCTGTTAAGGGGGAGTCACACTTCTCCCTGGGTCACTCTGAGGTTTAAGCGGAACAGGACCTGACACATCCCAGTGATGCCAGCCATTGTTAGGAATGATGATGCTGATGGTTCCTCGAGACCTCCTGAGTCAGCTGGGTCCTAGGATGTGGGTAGTGCCAGCAGGTTGCATCTTGCATCTCGCATCCTACTTAGGATTCATGTCATTTTGACACAGCTGCAAGCTGACAGTGGAACTGCATTCCATAATTTACAAAATGTGTCGAAAGCACATGAGATATTAATAGGAAAGCTAGCCGGACTCGGTGGCTCACACCTGTAATTCCAGTACTTTGAGAGGCAGGGGCGGGAGGATCACCTGAGGTCAGAAGTCCAAGACCAGCCTGGCCAACACGGTGAAACCCCGTCTGTACTAAAAATACAAAACTTAGCCAGGCGTGGTGGTGGGCACCTGTAATCCCAGCTACTCAGGAGGCTGAAGCAGCAGAATCACTTGAACCTGAGAGGCAGAGGTTGCAGTGAGCTGAGATTGTGCCACTGCACTCCAGCCTGGGCAACAAAAGCGAAACTTCATCTCAAAAAAAGAAAAAAAAAATAGAAAAGCTGCATTTTTTTATTGTTGCTATAAACCTTTAGAATTCTATGTCCGCTGGCTATGATGCCTCCCGATGAGGGTAATGAGCATAGTTGGCATTGTCAAAGGAGCTGCAGCCACTTTCAGTCTGGGATCCTCACTGCTCGTACATGCCAGGTTTCATATGGTTCATACATAGGAATGTTATATTCACTTTGACTTTGCCATCATTCTACCTGGATCGTAAACTCTGGGTGACACATAAATACTTCTGGGATTGCAGTTTGGCTCTTCATGTATTATTCAGTAAATAAATCTGGTTCTGTTCTTGATTCTTTTCTACCTTGGCTATTTCTTGTTTCCGTTCCATGTGTCCCCTCCTCTTTCTGTCTCCTGTCTTTTCCCTGTAGCCAGTCCAAACCCATTGCTAGTGTCTAATGTCATCTCCCTCTCACACAACCCAGCTTTCCTGACTCAGTCTTTTCACTGGCTCCCTCATCGTGTTCCCTGGACTCCATTTCACCTCTTCTTTCCAGCCAGTGCATGACCTGAATCCCAGGGGAGTTGCCTCCCAGGTCTGCCCCCTCCTGGCAGGGGGTATGTGGGTAGGGAGAGGGGCCTCTTTAGCCTCATTCTGTGGGAAGGCAGTTGAGAATGAGACCATCTTTGCTTCCTGGGACACCATCCACGTGACCCCACGTGCACACAGAGCCTCCACCATTGCCATTTGCCCAGCAGGGGTTGCCCAGGCTGGCGGCAGCTGTGGGTAGGGGTCTGCTTCCCTGTGTCTCTCTGGTCCCCTACCACTCCCTGCTACCATCTCCTTCTAGAACAGACCCAGTGGTTTAGGGCGATGTTGAAAGTCAGTCAACAGTCAGAAGCCCATTCCCTCCTGTTTTGCCTGCAGCCCTGTGTGCCCAGATGGTGACATTGGTTAACCATGGCGCAGCAGACCACGGCACCGCACTGGGTAATGTGCTCAACCTTCTGGTCTAAAGATGAATTCTCTCCAGCCTGGAGAAGATCATCACTGATATGTTCCGGCATGGTCTATTTGGCATTCATCCTCGGAAACATTAGGAGAGCAGGAGCGTTTCTTTCTCCAGCCTGTAATAGATCGATAGGGGATGCCAGATGTATGTGTAAACTCCCAAACCCAGGATGAATGGATTTTTCGCCCTGAGAAATATCTGTATCCTGTAAATAGAATTTTATAAGCATTTGTGGGACAGAAAAAGTCTCTGGCCTTTTCATATTGCCACACTCTCGGGTGATGGATCTCATCTGCTGAAGAGCACCAAGCTTTTTCCCTTTGTGTTAGACACATCTTGTGGAACTCTTGACTTCCTCTCTCTCAATGTCCTGCGAGAACTCGTGGTTCCCAGCTGCCTATCAAGCAGTGGAGGATGGCCATAGAGGTCAGGGGTTGCCTGAAGGGCTGGGAAAACTCCCCCAAGTAAAAATACCCCTCACCCTGATGTCACTCCGAGAAATGCCACCACCGGTTCAGGGACTTATTTTCTCCTTCTTCCCCTTCTCTGTAAGCAGAGAAGAGGCCGCCCACTAAAGCAGAGGGCTTTCTGGGCCCCAGAAGCCATTCTCCTCAGGGGAGATGCCTGTTGGCACTGCAGTCCTCAGCATTCAGAAGCCAAAATTAGAGTCTGCGATTGATGTACAAGTCAATATGTCATCTTTTACCCAGGGCCTGAGCTGCAGCCAACTCAAACCAGTGTGCTTCCTGAGCAGGATGCCACAGTCACTGGCTCCACAGTGAGGCACAGAAAAAGGTGAAGGTCAAGTCGAAGTCAGAGGAAGGAAGTGGGTAGGTGACGCCCAGGGAGCTCTCCAGTCATCACGGAGCCACAGAGGCTGCTCCACGCTGGGGCATGTGACGCCCCCTACCCTGACGGAGGCTTCTATCTGGTTAGACGAAATTCCCGGAAGAGCAGGAAGCAAGGCAAGGCCGGGCGAGAGAGAGGCCAGCAGCTAGACAGTGGCCTGTGCCTGGGGGGATTTCGGTTCCAGGCCTCCATCACGTCCACCTCTTGCGCGGCCCCTCACTTCCACTTGCCTCCTTGACTCGCATCACTGTCCTGGAGGCTGTGGTGTGCTTCTTCTCTGTCTGGTCCATCGTTGGCCTCTCAGGATTCCACACCTACTTGATCAGCTCCAACCAGACGACAAATGAGGACGTAAGTTCCTGACCACACGAGACACAGGGTGTGTTCTTGGGTTTTGGGCAATGGAGGAGAAAAAGGAAAGAAGAGGTCGGGCCCAGCTTCTCCCATACATCCCGTTCCAGATGTGAGCCCTTGGGAACAGAGACGGTGCCGTGGAAACTTCTCCACATGCCATTCTGCATGTTTCTCTACTGGGAATCTCTACGTTCTCTTTTTTTCTGATCACATCCATTAGATACTAAGGTTGGCCAAGTGACACCCATTTCTGGCCCTGAAGAGAGTGTTCTTTCTATTCCTTTGGAATGGTTTTGTAAGCTTCTAATCACACTTCCCCTGGTAGAAACCATGGCGGGCCAACATCTTGGAGTGAATGTTTGAGTCTGCCTTTCATATTTAATTTCTCTGTGGGAGGAAATTGCCCTGACCCAAAATTTAACTTTTTATCCAGGATTGTCTGCCTGTACTTAATGCAGATGAAGAGGAAGTATGAAAACAGGAAACAAGGCTAGGCACGGTGGCTCATGCCTGTAATCCCAGCACTTTGGGAGGCCAAGGCGGGCGGATTCCAAGGTCAGGAGATCGAGACAATCCTGGCTAACACAGTGAAACCCCGTCTCCACTAAAAATACAAAAAAATTACCCAGGCACGGTGGCAGGCACCTGTAATCCCAGCTACTCAGGAGGCTGAGACAGGAGAATCGCTTGAACCCAGGAGGCAGAGGTTGCAGTGAGCTGAGATCGTGCCACTGCACTCCAGCCTGGGTGACAGAGCGACACTCCGTCTCAAAAAAAAAAAAAAGAGGAAACAAAATGTTAGCGAATGTTTCCAGAGCACCGTGGTCCACTTTGCTCTTTACGCTTAGATTTTGATACAAGTCTCTATCCACACGTGAATTAAATGTCTCAGGATAGGTCCAGTTACCTTAAACAAAAGCTTGAGAAAATAGGTTGTGATAAGACACATGAGATAAGAGAATATTAATACAGTTATTTGTACTTGGTAGCTACAAATACTAGAATATGCAAAACAGACTATTTTGGTCACAAGAAGAGGCTGAATTATTTCAGTCTGTAAATTAGCAATTAGGGGAACCATTTCACCTGCCATTCATTTAATTATCATTTAGGGCACTAAATGTGAGTCTGAAAAAATCTCTGCTGGCTTATATGAGATGGCCTTTTAGTACCATGCGGTACAAATAAAAGATGATTGTCCCTGAGAATATTATTCTTTCCCTAATCTAACCTGCTGTTTTAGGACATTTCCAAGTTTGGAGTAAATGCCGATTTTCTTTAAGAAAAATACTTCCATTTCTTTGGATTAAAGATGATTTGCATTCTTTATGGGCTTCTCATGGTCCAGCTCACCTCAACCATGCGTTGGTGTGAAGGATATTGCTTGTTACTGACTTTCCTTTTCTTTCAGATTAAAGGATCCTGGTCAAATAAAAGAGGTAAAGAAAATTACAATCCCTACAGCTACGGAAATATCTTTACCAATTGCTGTGTTGCCCTGTGTGGGCCCATCTCACCAAGGTAAGACTCAGGATGCGTAGTGCTCTTATACAGACCTTGGAAAACCGAATGCCTCAGCCGTTAGCACAGGCCCCCCGCCCTGGCGGAATGGGTCGCCGCCACCAGGTGACCGCTTTGTGCCACGTGGACATGCCCTTCATGAAATCCAGATCTGGCTCTGTGTGTGGTGTCACACTTCACACCTTTTTTGATCTGAATCTGTGTCTGATTTGGGGAAAATTTCCTGAAGCCCGAAATAGAGAGACAGATGCCTGTGGCCCTGCTAATGACTGAGGACCTGCTAATGACTGAAGGTGTGCACAGGGAGCCGTGGTTAGCATCGTCAGGGAGACAAGACACATGCAGGAAGGAAGCAGCCAGAAAGCCTGCGGAAATCAGTTTTGAAAGTTGATTTGCACAGAATAGAAATGTTCATAGGGAGAGAGAGCCACATGTGCTGCAGTCGTTGAGACTGTGGTTGTGGTAATAATGACAATGACACGAACCATGGCAGTAGCTAACCTGTATTGAATCTGTGTTAAGCCCTGCTCTAAGTTCTTTACTTGCATTAGCCTTTTACAAGCTCACTCTGTACCTAGAGGTAGGCACCATTACATCGCATTCTATGGATGAGGAAAGTGAGACACGGAGTTTAAATAATGTGCCCAAGATCACACAGCCAGTAGATGCTGGCTAGTCAGGATGCACACCCAGGCCGCCCAATGTCAGAGCCAGTGTGTGCCCACTGAGGCACGCTGCCTCCAAGTCAGAGTGTGCAAGTTCAAAATACAGATTCTTTGTGAGTTACACCTATGGAGAACATTTTCAACTGATAAATGGAACCATGATCAACAAATAGGTATTGAGCAAATCTACTTGGTCTCTAGAATGAGTTTCCAAGTGATTACTGCTTCCTGCCTTTTGGTCTTTAAATGTGTAAAACGGAGAAATGACAAAAGCCACCATGACTGTGTCCAGGGCAGACCCACTGGGCACCCAGACCTTACCGATGTGTGCTTGTGAAATGCGGACTTCATTTGATTATCAGCCTCAATGAATCCTCATTAGAGAGGTAAAAAGAATTCAAGAAAAAAAAAAATCCAAGCACATATTCCAAGGCCATCTGTGCACTGGCATTGAGTTATTATGACTTTGAGTCATCGTGATGCTACTGCAAAACTAGAACTTGATCATTTTCTAGCTTTAGCCTAGAAAGTGGGGCGCCCAGCATGCCACTGTCCTCCTGAATGAGGGGTCCTCAAGGGACCCCTGACCTCCTCAGAGGCTTAGAAAGGGCAAGTGAAGATACTGGGTTTGGGAGGCTGCTCGGTCCACAGGGGTCAGACATGCCTGGGCAGGTGCCAGCTCCTCTTGAAGAAACCTCCTGACTCACCCAGGGATCCTTCTGGGAGCTCTTGAGGCAGAAAGTCTCTCAGGCAATGGCTTGATTTGTCGCAACCTCCATGGTGCTTCCCACTGGCATGTTTGTGGCTAGCAGGGCAGGCCAGGAAATCGAGGGTAACAGCCAGGGAGAGCTGCCCTCTTTCCGCCACCTGCGGTGTATGTGTGGGTCTAAGAGAGGATGCCGAGGCCTCAGTTCTGCCCAAATCTCCCTTCTTGTTCCCAAGTCCTTCATCTGCATATGGCACGGCTTTATGTTGTTTAGAGACCACAAACTGTCACAACCAAAATTATTTCCACAACTGGGTTAAATGTGCTTTTGTGGCTGGATTTGGGCTGTATTCTTTCCAAAATCCACGTTCCTTTGGGTGGGGCATTTCTTGAGAATGGTCCTACCCTCAGAAGTGTTTGAATCATTTGTTAAAAGGTAAACTGAAGGACATGAAAATATTGAAGAGTGTATTTGAACAGACAGTGATTCGTGAATCTGGCAGCTCCAGACTTGAAGCAGTGGGGGCTCCACTGAAGAGGCTCCAGGGATTTGGGGCCGCACTGCAGGGGCTCCGGGGGAGGCTTTACTGGGCGAAGGTAGAGCGAGGCAAATGAGATATTTGCTTTGTTAAAGTGGGGCTATAGCTTTCCCTGGGTCATTCTGGCGCGTGGGCAGGGACACAGGCCACTCAGGCTCCCAGGCAGATGTGAGGGGGTGATGCCTACCTTTGCCTCTCCCTCTCATCCTCTCTTGCCTTCCCCTCCCCCTGTGCTACCTCGCCCCAGCCCCTGCGCCTTTAAGTGGGCCAGGGCCTTCCCGGGCATCCCAGTCAGGCCCACCCGCTGAGAGTGTGCCCTGCCTCAGACCCACGTGCCCAGACCCCTGTGCTTGACTTGCCCCTCATGGGTTCTTAAACGGTGCCGTGCCATGCAAATGAAGCAGAGTGAGTCCTTGTGTTCCCTTTTGGGAGCCTGCATACCAAGAGTGCAGAGACCCACATTCCATTCCTGCAATGTCACCAGAGGCGGGGACGGCAGCTGGCTGGGTATGGCCAGGTTTGGGGGGAGGGGTCCTCATATAAGCCTGGCAGGAGGAATGGAAAATTGGGAACACAGAAAGGCCCAAGGAATGGTCAGTGTCACACCAGACTTGGGCCAGTCCCGTGGGTCACGTGGCCACCACTGACAGCACATGCACGATGGAGCCGGCTCTGTGCCAGGGCTAGGGGTGCACGGGAGAGGGGCCGGCTCCTGGGCAGCAGGGACCATCCATGGGCAGGCGGCGCACAGTGAGGTGCATGGGCCGCCCAGGAGTAGGTCTAAGCTGTGATCTCTCCTAAGGGTGAGAAGGAGTTCGGAGGAGGAAGTGGTGGGGAGGAGCAGGGTTTCAAAAGACAAAGGGGGCAGCCTGTGCAGGGACCCGAGGGTGAGGGTCCTGGCTCATCCAAGGAAATGCTGAGGGGGTTAGTGTCAGGAGTGAGGGGCGAGGGGAGCCGGGCTGAGAGGTGAGACAAGACAAGGGGTGAGGCCAGGTGAGAAGAAGGACGGGCAGAGCCCACTGTGTCCAGAGCATCGCAGCCCTGGGAGCCCAGCTGCTACATTAAACAGGCTGGATGTGATGGGATGCTGGCCGAGAACGCTTCATTTTTTTTCTCCCTGCTGTCCCTTCAGACTTTTTTGATGACCTAGTTCTTTTTCCGCTCCTAGATAGAATCCCCTGCAAGCCCCTTAATTTCTCTTGTCATTTAAAAAAAAAAAGAGAGAGAGAGAGAGAGAGAGAGCGCGTCAGGGCACTTTCGCTCCAAAATAGTATCATTTCAGTGCATCAGAACTGCGAAGTGCATTGACAGTTAACACTTCCCATCCCTTCACCTGAACCTGGTTGGGAGGACTGTGGGGTTCCCTGTTCCCTTGAGCTCTGCCCCGCCCCCCCCCCAGCTGGTCTCCCCACCAGCTTCCTGTCCAACAGTGAGGAGGGGATTTGGGCAGGGGGTCAGTGCCGTTGGTCCCCTGCCAATGCTCTAAACTGGTGGGGTCTGAGAGCACCTGACTAAGAGTTTCCTCTGAGGACCCCCCATCGCAGTTCCCTGATGGAGGCAGGGCCTTTTCTCCTGAGAGTCACTCATACCTGCCACTGCAACCCCGGGCCCGAGGCCATGAGCCCTGCACAGGCCTCTCTGTGGGGCCCCCTCTGTGTCTCTCTTGGGCTGAGTCCTATCGTAGTTTCCTAGGGCACTGCAGTCCAACAACTGCCATGAAATGGGAGGGTTAAAACAACAGAAAGTTGTTCTGTTACAGTCAGAGGCTCAAGGTGCCGGCAGGGTTGTGCCCGTCCCGAGGCTGGCGAGAACCCTTTCTTGCCTCTTCCGGGAACCTGGTGGGGCCATCAGCCCTCTGCGTTCCTTGGCTGGCACATGCTTCACTGCGGGGTAGCCTCTGTCAGCCCGTGGCGTTCTCCCTGTGTGTCTCTGTGCCCTCACCCAGCATTCTCTTCCTCTCCTCTTTTTCTTCTTATAAGGACACCAGTCACATTGGACAAAGGCCCACTCCAATCGAGTGTGACCTCATCTTAACTTGGTTACATTTGCAAAGACCCTACGTCTAAGTAAGGTCACACTCGCAGGTACCAGGTTAGGACTTCATATCTTTCTGCACAGTTCAACCCGTGACATTTACTCAAGACCTGGTGGTGGTGGTTGTTTGCGATGGAATCTCACTCTGTCACCCAGGCTGGAGTGCAATGGCATGATCTTGGCTCGCTGCAACTTCTGCCTCCCAGGTTCAAGCGATTCTCCTGCCTCAGCCTCCCAAGTAGCTGGGATTATAGGCGTGCGCCACCACGCCTGACTAATTTTTTTTGTATTTTTAGTAGAGACAGGGTTTCACCATGTTGGCCAGGCCTGTCTCAAACTTCTGACCTCTGGTGATCTGCCCACCTTGGCCTCCGAAAGTGCTAGGATCACAGGTGTGAGCCACCGTGCCCAGTCCCTCAAGACATCTTGGAACTGGCTCTCTCCCATGAGACCCACACCTGGACCTTCACCTAACCCTCAGGTCCCAGTCCATCCCTGGCTGTCACCCACGCTAGAGGGCAGAGTGCCTTTCTCCAAAACAGCCTTCTCTGCTCTTTTCCCCTCTGACCCTTTGTACCTTTGAAGGGAGGGTTGCAACGCTGGTTTGAGAACCCCTTTGACGTCCTGCAGAGGAGGTCCAGCACTTCTCTTTGAAAGGTGGAGATTCTTGTTGCCTATTGTTTTTTCTAAACCTATAGAGTGTTCAGCTGGAACTGAGGCAGAGGGAGTCCCATTTGAGGATCCCGTCACAGGTGGTTTTTCTGGCTTATCGTTCTGCCGCTTAAAGACCTGAAGGCAGTAGTCATGAGGTTAACTCCTGTGTTCCAAACGCTGAACTGACATGTAGGAGGCCCTGCGTTCTGAGAAAAGCAGCCCAGATAGTCAGTCCTCAGAGGCGGGGATGGTCGTGGCCTCTGGATACATTTGTGTATTTGGTAAAATGCTGAGCACCTGGGGAAGGGTCTGCACTGTGAGTATGGCTGGTCCCACACTGTGGGGGCTGCCCCAGGGATACTCACTTATTAGCTGAACCTCCTGTTGCTCTAAGAGTCTGCCCTTAGACTCAAGGTCAATGCTGAGCCTTCACTGGGGAGAAAAAAAGGCAACTTGACCCCACCTCCTAATGAGCCCAGCACCGTAGAGTACAGAAACAGATGTCTTTAGAAGCATTACTCAGAAACTTGTCTGTGGGACAAGGGACCTACTTTTATCCTTCAATCAACAAGAATTTTGCGCAGCACCCTCCGGGTGTCAGTCTCAGAGATGCAGATATTGAGACGCCCTGCCGGTCCTTGCCCTCCACGCTCTGTGACAGATGTGGACGAGGGGCTCTAATCCCTATCTCGGTGTGCCAGGCACAGGGCCAGGTGCCGTGGGGGGCCACAAGAGGAAGACTCTGCCCTTGGGAGCTTGATTGCGGGCAGAAAGTGATGTGTGGGGCTGAGAGAATCGGAGAAGGGGAGAGAGGGGGAAATGGGCTAGGGGCAAGAGCAGGGGCTTTTGAAACTTGCCTTGAAGAATGGAGAGCAGAGGGGAAGAAGAGTGACTTTGGGAGAGACGGGGGAAGAGTCCAAACAAAAACACAGACATAGCAAAGCAGAGTGCATGCCGGCTGGGGCTGTGGCTCTGTTCCCACCTGGTAGGCCATCATTTCCCACGCGATACCCTGGCACTAGCAGGTACTTGAAACACGTTTGCTGAGTGAATGTAGTAAGAAGACGTGCCGTTGAGGCTGGAGAGGAGCACTGGGGACAGATGGTGACAGGTGGAGTGAGACCAGCTTAGAGGCTGCCGCTGTTAGTGGACAAGAGGGAGATGCTGACATCTGAGCAGGCGACACGCCCTTGGCCTGGCCAGGAGGCAGGCCATGCCACAGTCATGTTTAAAGGGAGAAGGGACAGAATCTGGTCACCAATTGTACATGCAAGTGAGGAGAGGCGTAGTCTAAGGTGCCTGAGGTGGGCCTATCATGGGAAGAGGGAGCCCTGACACGGAACCTGAAATAGTGCTGCTGCATCTCTGGCTTTTTATTCACTCTCTTCCTCCTGTGTTCTCTTCTCTCTCGTAGCCTAATTGACAGAAGAGGGTACATCCAGCCCGACACGCCGCAGCCAGCAGCACCCTCCAGCGGTATCACCATGTACGGGGCCACGCAGTCACAGAGCGACATGGTAGGAGCGGGGGCCACCGCCCCTGTGACGGCTTTCCTTTTGCTTGTGTGCTCACTAACAAGTCACCGAGCAGCCTTCCTAGCAAACCTCCCCAGGAGCGGGGGCAGCCCGCAGCCCCCCACCCCCTGACTACCGTGCTCAGGCGGCAGGCAAGACGTTAAACAAAGGCAGTAGCCAGGGAAGCGTGTGGCCACTGAGTTTGGTGTGCTTGTTCACAGTTGTGCAGGGGAAGTCCACACACGCGATCCCTCTGCCAAAACAGCTTGAGGCATGTGGATGCAAGCCCCCCTTTTACAGGATCAGGCTGTTGTTTGAGGGATGAGACACACGTCCCAGGCAAGGCTGGGCTCATGGTCTTCCATTTCCCTTTCCATCCCTTGGTCCCCATCTGTACTGACCCCTCTTCCACTTCCTCAAGTGTGCAGTGGCTGGTGCTGCCAGTTCCCCTGCGTCCACTCAAAGTCTGGGATCAGCCCTGTGCTAAACAGTGCAAATGATCAGACCAGGTGGACGTTTACTCGCTGCAAAACTGACCAGTGCCTCTTCAGGGCACGTGCATGTCTCACGCTTTCTTCAACGGGTAGACATGCTTTGCTTCCAGCGTGCAGGTTCCCAGCGTGCAGGTTTCCAATGTGCACGTGGCGATCTGGGGGAGGGGACAGGAGTCACACTCATGGGCACCAGAACTCCCAGCCTGGCCTGGTCCCAACTATCAGTGTCTTAAGATTCCCTAGGTGTCTGGAAGGCAATGACCTCTCTTTATTTGGAACAAATCTCCCTAAAGTTAGAAGTTCCATGTTCCTGCAGAGGACCTTGTCTTGTGGCCCTGCGCTGTGTGCTGTTTCTGTAGCTGAATCACCCACTCCAGAGCATCCATGACAGATCAGAGACCTGACTTTCAGGTAGACTGGATGTGGGCAGCAGCCCAGAACACCTTGCTTCTGGGAGCAAAGAACTGCAAGGTGGAAGCTGCGTGAACAAGGCTCAGCCCCCAGCAGAGGTGGCTGGGGTTTGTGTGTTGGTGTTGGTGGTGTCTTGTTTGTATTGCTTTGCTCTGCTTTGCTAATAAAGCGTTTTCTCTCCCTCTCTTTTTTTTTTTTTTGAAACAGAGTCTCGCTCTGTCACCCAGGCTGGAGTGCAGTGGCATGGTGACAGCTCACTGCAACCTCTGCCTCCCAGATTCAAGCGATTCTCCTGCCTCAGCCTTCCAAGTAGCTGGGACTACAGGTGCATGCCACCATGCAGGCTAATTTTTGTACTTTTAGTAGAGGCAGGGCTTCGCCATGTTGGCCAGGCTGGTCTCGAACTCCTGACCTCAGGTGATCCACCTGCCTCGGCCTCCCAAAGTGCTGGGATGACAGGCATGAGCCATTGTGGCTGGCATGTTTTCTTTCAAAGCAAGTACGTTTATTTCAGGGTCCTTGCCCTCCACTCTGTAAGGGATTGGGGAAACAGCTTGTTTGGTCATAATTCATGCACTCAAGGGACCCTTTGAGGGTCACTCCCCCATATTCTTCAGAAAAGGAAACTGAGAACAGAGGGAGGAAGAGACAGGCTCGCAGGAAAGGGGATTACATTCACGGAGACCAGCTGTGTTCAGGGCGTGTGGTGGTCAGCACCTCATTTAACCCTAAAGCCACAGTGGGAAAAGGGGACACTTGTCCCCACCTTTGTTAAGGAGGAGAGATTGGTCATCCGTCTACCCAAGAGCACACAGACACTAATTTGTGGGTTCAAAGCTAGCCTGGTGACTCCAGTGCCCATGTTCACTTCTGATGCTGCATGCCCGCAAGTGCACAGGCATGAAAGACCAGGAGATCTGTGCTCAGAGGCTTTCTTCACGATTCGCAGGTGCACAAGAAGTGCCTTTAAGGACAGAGCTCACCAGAATTCTGGCCACAACATATGTTGATCATTTCTCTGATGTGTGCATGTGTCTACACACAATAACCTCTCATTCAATCAGCCACTCTACCTGGGTTCCCTCTGTGTGTTTAGGACTAGACTAGGAGCTAGAGATACAAGGTTTGTGGGGTACAGCTCATCCACCTTCAAAGGGATCAGCAGTCGGGGGCAGCATGTGAGCAGATACATGAAGGAAGCATTTAGAACCTGCAGTAGAATTGACCACTGTTGGTAACTGTCCTTGTCAAAACCAGTGAACTTATGTTCCTCTTACCCTGTGATCCCCATAATACTGGGCTCACCAAGTTCTTCAAGGTACTAATCTCAGCAAATTCTACGCTTTGTTGAGGTTAAGAAAATTAACAAAGGCTGTTTACAGGTGCTCTCACCAGGAAGCCACTTCAGGTCAAGACCAGGTGGGACATAATTCATCAATCCAGCAAACAGTTATTGAGCACCTACCCTGTGCCTCTGTGATAGAGAAGGTAGCTTTAACCATGGAAATGGGGAGGTCGTTTTACTCCATATGGCAAATCAGAGTCCCCTCTGGAGTCCATTCATTCTACACCCGCACCAAGACTCTGGTCAAGCGCACATATCGTGACATGGCAGAAATGCTAGGGTTCATCTGCCTATTCCTGTAGGAGTCACCTTACAACTAACTAGTACCGCTGAAGGCACTGGACTGTGATGTTGTAAGCATTGTTGGAAGAGGATGCTGCAAAGGTTAAGAAGACTGTCGCTGTGCAGCAGCTGCCTGTTGGTCACCCCTTATCACTCAATTCAGTGTAAAGCTACTTTTTTTTTTTTTTTTTGAAATAAGTGTCTCACTCTGTCGCCCAGGCTGGAGTGCAGTGGCGTGATCTCCACTCACTGTAACCTCCGTCTCCTAGGTTCAAGTGATTCTCCTGCCTCGGCTTCCCAAGTAGCTGGGATTACAGGCACCCGCCACCACACCCAGCTAATTTTTGTATTTTTTAGTAGAGACGGGGTTTCACCATGTTGGCCAAGCTGGTCTCAAGCTCCTGGCCTCAAGTGATCCACCAGCCTCTGCCTTCCAAAGTGCTAGGATTGCAGGCATGAGTCACCGTGCCCAGCCTGTAAGGCTACTTATTAAGGCATCTGTTCATCTGTGGGCTTGAGTACTGTGTCAGGAAGTTTGAAGATACCAAAAAAAAAAAAAACAAAAACTCAAGGCTCCTTGCCCTCCTATTCTCCGCTGTGACTGAGGATGAGATAGTCTGAGCACCCCAGGAAAGAGCTGCATGTGATGTCACCATGCCACTGAGCACCAGGTAGATCAGGAGGAGCTCTGGACCCAGAAGCAGAGCCTCTTCACTGCTGGTCTCAGGCTGATGGCATACAGAATCATGGCGGGATTGAGTGAGGACCTGTGTGCGGCCCTGGTCACCTGGCCAGGCTGACAGTGCACTGCCTGCCATGCACACCTGAGTGCAGGTGACTTCACATCTCCTGCAGCATCTTCTTGCCATCCATACATACAAAGGGAAGAGAGCATCATTTTTTGTTGTTGTTGTTGTTGTTGTTGTTGTTGTTGTTTTTTAAGGCAGGTTCTCGCTCTGTCGCCTAGGCTGAAGTGTGGTGGTGAGATCTCAGCTCACTGCAACCTTCACCTCCTGGTCTCAAGGTGATCCTCTCACTTCAGCTTCCTGAGTAGCTGGGACTACAGTCATGCGCCATCATGCCCGGCTAATTTTTGCATTTTTTGTAGCAACAGTTTTGCCATGTTGCCCAGGCTGGTCTCGAACTCCTGCCCTCAAGCGATCCACCTGCCTCAGCCTCCCAAAGTGTTGGGATTACAGGTGTAAGCCACTGCATGTGGCCATTCATTCCTTTACTCAGGCATGCACAAATCTTTCCAGAGAGCTTCCAAGGGAAGGCTTGAAAGCACTGTCGGGTGTAAAGAAATGAACAGGACTCATGTGCACCTGGGAGCTGTACAGTACAAAAACACTCCAGTGTCACAGCCCTAATGAATCCATGCCCCATGAATCTAGGCTCAGACACATGGCATGTGCATGAAATTTCAGGATCAAGTTCTTAAAGCCCATGGACCCCATGGTAAAGAAGCTCTCCATCAGTGAGTACCATGGTCTACCGTCTCCCTAACGGAGACAAAACTGTGAGAAATCTCAACATCCTGGGAGTCATATACATGTGAGTGCTACTCTGGATTTGGTAATAGCACAGAATTTTAGAGTCAAGTCCCTTAAGCAGGATGTTCCAGCCAGTGATAAAAGCTGTACAGAGACGTCTCTTCCACATGGTAAATGCTTTCGAGTCAGCTAGCGGGCTTTAAGATGACTTTTTACCCCATCTGGAAGAGGAAAATCGGAGATGGGGATTCATTTTGCAGAGACCAGACTGCTGTCACTTACTAGAAGCATAAGCTTGATGAGTTGCTTAACCTCTCTGCCTCAGTGTTTTCATCTATAAATAGGAACATTGATATTCTTACCTTGTAGGGTTTCTGAGGATTAAGTTAAGACATGTAAAGCACTTAAAACCTTGCCTAGTAGATGAGAAGTACTATTTAAGTGTCAGCTGTTACTATTATTATCTCCCTGAGATCCATGAGTGGCAAGATGAGTGAGCTCAACTGGACCCTCTTGCAGCAACCGGAAAACAATAGAGATGACTGACGTGAGGGAAAGAGCCCAGGATGGGAACCAGGGAATGAGAGCTCCCATTCTGGCCCCTGCCAGTGAGTTCCCTGATGATTGGCAGGTCCCTCTTGCCTCACTAGTCCTCAGTTTTCCTCATCTGCAAAATAGGAGCTGGGATTAATTTGTACCTAAAGCCCCCATTTAGCTGTGAGCCTTTGGTGAGTCTCCGATCCTTGCAACTCCACCAGGAGATGAGGAGGGCAGAGACAACATCTCAGTCCACATGCGCAGGAAAGAGCTCTCCAACCCCCAGAAGGAAGTAAACACCATGACTCTCAGTTCCTCCTCTCCTCCCACCCACCCTGACCAACAGCCCCCAAACTGACTAAGCCCGCACTTGACACAGGACTAGGGGTGTGCTGTGGGGCTATGTGCGGTCTGACCATCATACCAGAACTTCCCTGAGAG